CAGGATCAGCAGCTAATAAAACAAAGAAACTACTTAAGTGCCCAGTAGTGTGAGCACACAGCTGCCAAATCATAATTATTCTGATCACATTTGCATGAACTTTTAAAAATAAACATCCAAAACATAGTGTAGAATGAAAACAAATTACCTAAGACTAAACATAGTATTATCCCATAAACACAAACATGTATCTCTAGGTTACTATTTTGATAATATCCCATAAACACAGACATATATCTCTAGGTTGCTATAGTAACACTAGTTATAGATCATAATATTTTATCAAAATAGTAACACTAGTTACATAGCATAATATTTCAAGTTTTGTACTTTCTCTTTGTATTTTTATATGGTTTTTGATTTTTAAAGTTTAACATCCAAAATATATAAAGAACTCATAAAACTCAACACCAAACAACCCAATTAAAATGGACAGAGGACCTGAACAGATGTCTCCCAAGAAGACATACAAACGGCCAGATATAGGAAAAGATAATCAACGTCATTGGCTATTAGGGAAATGCAAATCAAAACTACAATGAGATACCACCTCACACCTGTGAGAATAGCTATTATCAATAAGGCATGTAATATTGTTGCAGAAATTGTGGAGCAAAGGGAACCCTCAGTCACTGCTGGTGGGAATGTGAACTGGTACAGCCACTATGGGAAACAGTCTGGTGGTTCCTCAAAAAATTAATAGAGTTACTTTATGACCCAGCAACCTCTCTTCTAAATACCTACCTGAAAAACACAAAAACATGGCCCTGGCCAGGTGGCTCCGCTGGTTGGAGCGTCATTCTGTTCACCAAAAGACTGCGGGTTTAATCCCCCATCGGGGTGCGTATGGGAGGCAACCAATCAATGGTTTTCTCTCTATTCCTTCCTCTCTCTAAAAATCTATAAAAACATACCCCTCCGGTGAAGTTTAAAAAAAAAAAAAAAAAAAAAAAAAAAAAAAGCATGTATTCACAAAGATATATGTGCCCCTCAGTTCATTGCAGCATTACTCATGGAGGCCAAGATGTGGAGACAACTAAAGTAATCCTTCAATAGAGGGTCAGATCAAGAAAATGTGGTATAGCCGAAACCGGTCTGGCTCAGTGATAGAGCGTCGGTCTGCAGACTGAAAGGTCCCAGGTTCGATTCCGGTGAGGGGCATGTACATTAGTTGCGGGCACATCCCCGGTGGGGGGTGTGCAGGAGGCAGCTGGTCGATGTTTCTCTCTCATGGACGTTTCTAGGTCTCTATCTCTCTCTCTTCCTCTCTGTAAAAAAATCAATAAAATATATATTTAAAAAAAGAAAATATGGTATAGCCTCAGCCAGTTCGGCTCAATAAATAGAGCATCGACCCACAAACTGAAGGGTCCCAGGTTCAATTGTGGTCAAAAGGGCACATATTTCAGTTGCAGGCTTGATCCTCAGACCTGCTCATGTGGAAGGCAACCAATGGATGTTTCTCTCACATCTATGTTTCTCTCTGTGTCTCTCTCCTGTCCCTTACACTCTCTAAAATCAATGGGAAAATATTACCAGGTGTGGATTAACAACAACAAAAAATGTGATAATGGGAGTGTTACTCAGCCATAGGAAAAGACGAAATACTGCCATTTACAAAACATGGATGGATCTTGAGAATATTATGCTAAGTGAAATCAGTCAGAAAAAAATAAGAACCATATGATTTCACTCTTATATAGGATATAAAACTGAAACTCTGGACAAAGACAGCAGTGTGGTGGTTACCAGAGGCAAGGGGCTAGAGAGGTGGGATATGGGGTGGTGAGAGGTGGAAAAGGCATAATATATGGTGATGAAAGATGGTTTGACTTTGGGTTGTGGGAACATAATGCAATATACAGATCTCAAATCATAGAAATGTACGCTTGAAATTTATATGATCCTATTAATCAAAGTCACCTGAATAAATTTAATAAATCATATATAATAAAAGCCTAATATGCAAAGTGTCTGGTTGTCCATTCAACCAATTAAATCATAATATGCTAAAGCCACTCAACCGCTCACTATGACATGCATTGACCACCAGGGGGCAGACAATCAACTGGTTGACCAGTTGCTATGATGTGCTCTGACACCGGTAGGTTAGCTTGCTGCTGGGGTCCGGCCAATCGGGACTGAGCAAGATAGGCCACAGATGGCCTGGAGCCCTCCCACGGTCCCTTCCCAAGGCCAACCTCCCACATCTCTCCCAACCTTGGATCGACTGTGCACCGGTGGGGTCCCTGGGCCTGACCTACGCCCTCTCATAATCTGGGACTCCTCGGGGGATGTTAGAGAGCCAGTTTCAGCCTGATCCTGCAGGCCAGACAGAGAGACACTACAGGTGCACAAAATTCATGCACTAGGCCCCTAATAATTTTAATAAAATAAAATGGTGACCATTAATTAGTTGACTTCTGGAAAAAATATCTCACACTAAGCAAACTTCAAATCCATGAACTCAAGTTCAACTGATTTTCTTTTTTATTTATAAAGCTTTGATTTAAAAAACTGTATATATTTAAAGTTTTAATACATGTATATGCTCATGAAATCATCACATAATCAAGATAAAGAACACACCCCTAAGAGCTCCCAACTGTCCCTTTGTAATCTCTCCTTCCCACCCTCCACCACATCCTGGTCAATGCATGTGAAACCAATTACCTGTTTTATTACTGTACAGATTAAATTGAATTTCCTAAAGTCTCATAACTAGATTCATACACTATATATTCTTTTTGTCTGGCTTCATTCTTTTGTATTTTATTTTGCATTTACAGTTTACATTCAATATTATTTTGTTTTAGTTTCAGGTGTACAGAAAGATGGTTAGACAATCATATCCTTTACAGAGTGATGCCCTTTACAGACAGTGGTACCCATCTGACACCATACATAGTTATTACAATATTAACTATACTAGAGGCCCAATGCACAAAGATTCATGCAAGAATGGGCCTTCCTTCTCTTGCCTGTTGGCACTATTTTCGCTACAGTTGGAGCCGCCTTTCCACCTTCCCAAGCTGCCCAGAGGCCCAGAGAGGCTGGGGCAGTGCAGACTGCCTGCATCATGCCATGGCAAGGATGCAAATATCCCACCCACCCCCAGCTGCTCAGCGCCAGCGTATGCAAATTAACCCACCATTTTTATTGGGTTAATCTGCATACACATTAATAATTGTCTGTGGATGTTGTAAAGATACAGTCAATTTATATCTTACTCTTTCATTAGTGTAGATTCTGTTATTTTACTGAATTTACTTATCAGTTGAATAAGAGTGGCCATCCCTGTCTTGTTCCTCAGCTTAAAGGAAATGCTTTGAGTTTTTGCCCATTGAGAATGATGTATATTCCTTCTATATCCATTATGTCAAAGGTTTCTATCAAAAATGAGTGCTAGATTTTGTCAAATACTTTTTCTCCATCTATTGATATGATGTGATTTTTATACTCCATTTTGTTTATGTGATATATCATGTTTACTGATTTACATACAACAACCTTGCACCCCCAGAATAAATCCCACTTGATCATGGTGTATGATCTTTTTAATGCATTGCTGGATCTGGTTTGTTTACATTTTGTTTAGGATTTTAGAATTTGTGTTCATCAAGGATACTGGCCTTTAATTTTTTTTATCGTATCTTTATCTGGTTTTGGAATTAAGATAATGCTGGCCTCATAAAATGAGCTTAAGAGTCTTCCCTCCTTTTGAATTTTCTGGAATAGTTTGAGGAGAGGAGTTACTTCTTTGAATGTTTGGTAAAATTTGCCTGTGAAGCCATCCAGTCTAAGATTTTTCATTTGTTGGGAGTTGGTTTTTTTTTATTACTGCTTCAATTTCACTAGTTATAATCCGTCTAGTCAGATTCTTTTATTCTTCCTAATTCAGTTTTGGACGATTGTATGTTTCTAGGAATTTATCCTTTTCATTCAGATTGTCCAATTTGTTGCCATATAAATGTTTGCAGTTTTCTTCTTACAACCCTTTGTATTTCTGTAGTTTCAGTTTTACTGCTCCTCTTTCATTTATGATTTTATTTATTTGGGTCCTCACTCAATTTTTCTTGATGATTCTGGTTAAAGGTTTGCCAATTTCGTTTCTTTTCAAAGAACCAGCTCTTAGTTTCATTGATCTTTTGAATTGTTTCTTTGGACTCTATTTCATTTAGCTCTACTCCATTTTTTTATTATTTCCTTTCTTCTACTCACTTTAGAATTCGTTTCTTGTTCTTTTTCTAGTTTCTTTAAGTGTTAAGGTTAGGTTGTTTAGTTGAGATTTTTCTTGTTCCTTGAGGTATGACAGTAATGCTATGAATTTTCCTCTTAAAACTGCTTTCACTGTGTCCCAGCGGTTTGGGGTTGTTGTGTTCTCATTTTCATGTTTCAAGGTAGCTTTTGATTTCTTCCTTAATCTCGTTGTTATCCCATTCATTGTTTAGTAACATGTTATTTGGTCTCCAGATCTTCATATTTTTCAATTTTTCCTTGTGATTGATTTCTAATTTCATATCCTTTTCGTCAGAGAAGATGCTTGATATGATTTCAATCTTCTTAAATTTATTGAGACTTGTTTTGTAGCCTAACATGTGTTCTATCATAGAAAATATTCAATGTGCACTTAAAAAGAATGCATATTCTGCTGTTGTGGGGTGAAATGCTCCACTGACAATTAAATTTGGGGAATTTTTAATTTTGAAAATTGGGAATTAAATCATTACATAAATCATATATACTTCTTCCTCACAAAGAATAAAAAAATAAAGTTTAAATGAAAATAGCAATAGGAATGAACAATGTACCAAGTTTTCCCAGGGAAAATTGTGGTCGAGTACTCAATAAATAATGATAGTACACCTGCAAACAGGTTTAAATTACCTGAGTTTTTCTCCAATTGAAGGTGTTACACAGTAAATTTAATTCTAGAGAGTTTTCATCAGTTTCTCTTTAAATATGTTTCACATAGTACATATGAAGAGCTTAATACTTACTTATCAAGGAAATCCTTATCCACTACAGCACTGATGTCGAGAAGAGGATTTCCCATTCCAAAGAGAACATTTTCACTAAAAAACAAAATATAAGCACAAGTTAGAAATAATTCTGAAAGTAAGGTGATGTGTAAAATGCACACAAATGTAAATATCTTTACCTCATCATGAAAAATAAACCTAACACACTAGTTTATTAAACATTTTATTTTCCTATTAAACATTTTCCTATTACATGTAGGACAATAACTTAGAGGAAGCACAATTCCATTTAGAAAGCATGAAATAAAAAATAACAAGAAACCAAACCATGTGCTCTTGTTCCTAATATTCAACAGTCAATGATTCAATCTAATTAATTTTAATGATTTTTTAAAGATCTCTTACAACAAAGTTTTATACTCAATAGACATAATAATTAACTCTAGTAAGACACCCAACTACTGAAATTTATTAGAGAACATGGAGCAAGTCCTGGAGGAGTCAAGGACATGGAAGTTCATGTCCCCATGTAACCCCATACCTTGCTGTGATATACTTTACAATAAGAAATATTTATTGTTAGGTGATTATTGCTCAATCTTTTCAGCAAAGCATATGAAATGTGATTCAGAGCTTCTTGTCTAAAGGACAAAGGAGAAGGATTTATACATTAACTACTGTCCTGCATTGCAAGAGACATGCTGTCAAGCTGCAATGGTTCCAAGTTTCTGTAGAACCTACCGCAGCAACAGTGGCTAAGAGATGTAAACACTGGAACTTAAAGTAACACATAAGTGGTGTCTCCATACAGTCAGTTAAGTAAAAACTACTCAATAATTTATCAAAGCAAATGACTTTAAACTACTCATGTCATGTTTTCCTCTCCATCATTATACATAATTGACAAACTATTACATATGACTTCACTGTAATATGACAAATGAACTCTACTAAAACACTAATTCTTTAAAATGCCTAGTTACTTAAATTCAAGCACATATAAACTACAGTCTAGACCAGTAAATAATAAGTTATGTATTACTCTTCTTTAAAAAAAAAAAATTTATTGATTTTTTTTCAGAGAGGAAGAGAGAGGGATAGAGAGTTAGAAACATCAATGAGAGAGAAACATCGACCAGCTGCCTCCTGCACACCCCCCACCAGGGATGTGCCCGCAACCAACGTACATGTCCTTGACCGGAATAGAACCCGGGACCTTTCAGTCCACAGGCTGATGCTCTATCCACTGAGCCAAACCAGTTTCGGCATGTATTACCCTTCTTAAATGATGAAGGCACTATATGAATAAGCATTTATTTTTTTATTGTTTTACTAGATGTGAATAACATGTGGTCTACTATGGCCAAAAACCATGATTGATCCATAATGGATTTACTATTTTTGTTGCAAATATTAGCAGTGCCTTTTCCCTGAAATATATATTAGCATAAAAGATTCTCAATAACTTTTTTTTTTGCAGAGAGGAGGTGTAATTTTTTAGTCTCATAACTCAGTGCTCTAGCCAACATAAACCTATATTGTATTACTTTTTTGGACAACTAATAAATTTTGTGCACTGACATACATATTAGAGTAAAAGTCCTGGAGAAAAAAAAATTGCTTATCTTTGATATATTAATGTTTATTGGCCCTCTGAAAAACAGAAATGTTCAGTTATACTTAAGGTGCTAGAATAATATAAATTTTAAATCCAGAAACCTCAGCTTCATGTGTGATTCTTCTCTCTCATCAACAACCATCTTACTAATAGCTCCATCTTCTTGGTGGGGACATGAGATGGCCATAAAAGGTTTTGAAAAGTTCAGCACATTCCTGATTATCTAGACTGCCATGTACATGTGCTCAGGACTATGGGCATGATTAAGCCCAGAAAAAGCACTAGTCAATAACTTCTGAGCAGGAGGCCTCGCACAAGCAGGAAATGCAGGCTAAGAAAGAGTTTAAGCCAGAAGGAATTCTGAAGGTATGCCTCAACATGCAGAGAGAGTCTCTCAGCAAAGAATGGCAGACAATAACAAGTATAGGCAAAAATGTATTCCTCACACACTGCTATTGGAAATGTAAACTGATGCAGCATCAGTCCCTCAAAAAAAAGGAAGCATAATATTACCATTTGACCCAGTAATTCCAGTCCTAAGCATATATCCAGGAGAAATGAAGACATATGACAAGACAATAGGATAGTGAAGGCCTGGGGTAGGGGAGGAAATGGGAGGAGGGCTAGAAGGGATCGATGAAAGAGAAAGGAGGACATATATAATAGTTTCAACAATAAAGATTTTTTTTTTTTTAAGAAAATGGTTGCCTGGTGGAACAGGGAGTGGGATAAATTAAAAAGAGGCAGGAGAGAATTTTCTAGATAGATTAACATGTTTTGTATGCTAACCTAGATGGTATTTACACAAAATTTTCAAAATTTAGTGAATTTGGGACCATAATTTCACTACTACACATAAAAAAAAAAAAAAAAGCCAACAGCATAATTTAAGTGAAAAGAGTAGGAGCATATTTGTGTTCCTTAGAGTATGCAAGGCCAATCTTTCCATTTGTATTCTAGATCCTTATGCCTTCTTGAATACACAATGAAATGATTTATTCCTCTGTCCAGCATCATCTACTTTTTTGCTTTCTACTAGATCACTCCCCTTTTCCACGTACAAATATGTTGAAAATGAGCCCCTCTTAACTCCACATATATCTCCAGATACTATTATCCCTGATCCTCATTGCAGTAAAACATTTCTAAAATACTGTCTATTCTCTATTAAATAGCAAGTTCCCCTTAACTGGATAAAATTATTCATTTTAAATTCAATTTTCAGGAGCACAGGTATGGCATAAAAATGACTCACAATTACATAGGAATTTGCAGCTATAAAACATTTTTATGTGTTATCATCTTTAAATCTTTACAATAATTCTATTTGTTAGGTATTGTTATTATTTACATTTAACAGAAATAAAAAGTTCAGAAAAGTTTTATAATCTTGCCAAAGGTCAAAGACAAATGATTCCTAACTTTAAAGCACATGCTTTCTTATTCAATACTAGTGGCCTGGTGCACAAAATTTGTGCAAAAGGAGGGGGGCCCTCAGCCCAGCCTGCAACCTCTCCAATTGGGGATCCCTTGGGGGATGTCTGACTGCCGGTTTAGGCTCGATCCTGGTTTAGGCCCCATCCAATTGGGCCTAAACCTGCAGCCAGACATCCCTCTTGCAATATGGGACTGCTTGCTCCTAACTGCTCACCTGCCTGCCTGCCTGCCTGATTGCCCCTAACTGCCCTTCCCTGCCAGCCTTATCTCACCCCCAACTGCTCTCCCCTGCTGGCTGATCTCACCCCCAACTGCTCTCCCCTGTAGGTCTGATCTTGCCCCCCAACTGCACCCCACTACAGGCCAATTTGGTTTTGATTGGTCAGTTTCTATGCCAATCAGCATCAAAAGCTCCACCTCCTAGGCAGCCATTGGCTCCTCAGTTCACCCAGATTTGGTTCTGATTGATCCATTTCTATGCCAGTCAGCGTCTTCGAGCCTATCTCTGGGCCTGATCATCAGCCCTGGAGGCCTGAAGAGAAACAGAGGCATGGCTACTGGCAAAGCCCTGAGAAAAAGAGAGACAACATTGATCAACAGCTGCCACAGAGGCTGCGGATCAGATCCTGCCTCTCTCTGTGCTTGATCCACAGCCCGCTTAGCAGTCAGTGCTGGGTCACCACAGCAACCCAGCTCTAACTGCAGGGCTACTTCCGGTGTTCGGTCAAGCCTTGGGTTGGTCATTATGGACCCTGAGTTTTTATATATTAGGATAGTACATTTAAACACTCAGAACTCCCTTAATACAATAAAATGACCAATTATATATATAATTATATGTATGTATATATTATATATAAATACATATATATACATATATGCATATATATATATATATATTTGTCTTATGGTCCTATTTCAAATAACATTTCAACAACCAAAATCTACTGTAACAAAATGATTATAGTATATACTAGCAAATATGTGACTAGATAATTTATTATCCAAACAGGGCATTTTTGAGAGTAAAGAAAGAGCCATTTATAATTATGCCAGGGTAACAGGTATGATTCAGGATTGTCCTGAGTAAACTGGGACATATGGTCATCCTATTTATAAGCTAACTTTGCTATTTGAAAATAAGAATTCATGCTTATGGTTTATTACAGGGTTGTTGTTTTTTATTATTAGTAAACACTTCCTCTGATTCCAAGGACCACACCAGTCTTGACATTTGGGGAGGAGATTAAAAGCTGAAGGTTATCAGGAGAGACCCAATTCTGAATCTGGTCAAATACACTTGAATATCGGTGCTGCTAAAAATTGATCATTAGAATATTAGTAACTGATCACTGGACCCATAAGCTAAAAGCCTGAAACAACCAGAGTGTTCCATTAACTAAGCAACGTTATAACTTATAGGGTTTGACCAGAGGAAAGAAAAAGTCATTCCACAGAATGAAGACCAGATATTGTGCAGTAATGTGACTCATACTAGAAAAATATCTAAATGAATACAGCCATAAAAATGTTAAAATTCAAGAGGAGAAAAATAAAGTGATAAACATACTATTGCTAGTAAAATATTAAAGTCAAGAGAGTATTTTTTGTTCAGCATTTCAGATAAATAAAAGTTAGCTAACAGTCATTTATAATAAACAATTACTTTAGATAAATATTTCTAATGCATGCCACCTGCAAGCCAAACACAGTCTGTTCACTGAGTCTGCCATTCACAAGCACAGAAATGTAGTTTTCCATAAGGTAATCAGGTATATAGTTACTAGTATAGGCCTCATGGGGTATTTAGAAAGTATCATCAATGGTTTAAACTCTTCCCTACCTAGAAGGGTATTACAATATTTTTTTATAACAATTTAAAACAAATAAGTATGAAGATGTAAAGAGATATTATTATTAACTAATGTTACAGGAAAGGGTTAACATTCAGCCTAGTCAATCATTTTGATTCTGTTTTATCTTTGACAGTTCTATTTAATGTAGCAATACTGTGGCTGGGAAGATTTGGAGTTAGAAA